GTTTCCTCACTATTTTCTATGGTAGTATTGTTGTTTATAGTTATTGCTTTTACATCTATTTTTTTACTTTTTACGATGCTGTTAATATTTTTCATCTTCTATTGTTGTCACTAACCTATTTTCTATTGTTTATTTTTCTTCTTCTCGAGTCGAGGGTCTTTCGGAAATAGCCTCTCTACCCCTCTGGGGGTAGAGGTAAGGTCTGCGTCCACTCTACCCTCCCTAGACCCTACTTATAGGATTATACTGGGTTGTTGTTATTTTTTTTAAAAAAAAAATTAAATTTTCTAAGATATGTAGGTATAATTGAGTTATTTATTTTTCAATTACAAAAATTAGTATTATAATTTATAACTTTGATACAATATAAATTAAAAGTTTGATGACTATCCGTAAAATTAATGCGTAAACATAAGGTCAAGAAGTGAAGGGGAGTCTTGGAGCAACAGTAAAATTATCTCCGTTTGAGCTATTGGTTCCTGGTTCGAGCCGTAGAATTAGCCACTGATACTTGCATCAGGGTAGCCTGTCTCCGTCGCATCCCCTTAAGGTACAACCCTTCTTGGACCCTGCGTGAACGCGGGATGCTTCGTACAACAGGTGACCCCTAAAATAAAGGTCAAGAAATATAAAGAATACAAAAGACTTGCCTGGAGAATGTCACCAATATTGATAACTAAAGCTCCAGGGGTAGGAGGAACATCAACCCAATGATTTTGGTGAAAAACTTGAAGTCCTCCAAAATCATCTTGTAGAAGTACTGTGAAAAAATCATTATCTGCATGTCTGCTTGTGCCTATTGCAAGTTCTGGTTGTGGACATGCTGGATAATAATTACACAAAATGCCAAGTCCCTCAGCACAGTCCATTTCTTTGAGATGATTAGGTTTGAGACCAAGACCTTCTGATAATAACTCAAGCAAATTGCAGCCCAATTTCATCACATGATTTGAGTACTCTATTACAATTTCCCTGAAAGAATACAAGTAAAGTTGATAAATTATAAATGGAATTTTATGTTATATACACAAATTGCACTAACACGTTGTGTCCTTGATCCGAGGGTCTATCAGAAACAGCGACTCTATCTTCACAAGACAGGGGTAAGGTCTACGCGCACACTACCTTCCCCAGACCCCACGTGTGAGATTATACATGGCTTATTATTGTTGTTGTTGCACTAGCACATTGTAACGTGTTATTATTTTATTCTTTGGTTATCATATATGTTTTGTTATAAAACAATTACCTGTTATTATAGGTTAATTTTATCTGATAGCATAAAAGAATTATGTATTATCGGCAGTCTGGTGTACTAAGCTCTTGTTATCCCGGGTTCGGGAAAGGGTCAAACCACATGTACACAATCTTATCCTGTATTTGTGTAAGAGACTATTTACACGGCTCGAACCCGTAACCTTCTGGTCATATGACAACAACTTTACCCGAGTAGCTAAAGCTATTTTAGGAGAGGGATTACTTGATACTAAAAGATGTGAAAGCAAAATTTCTTTAGTTCATTGTATCATGCTCCTAATTACTCCCTCTTTAATTTTTATATGACCGAATTTCGATTGAACTTTAATATATTAACTTTACTTGTATACCATATTGACGAAGCAATGATTGTAAATTTAGTTTGATAGAGAAAATAGTAATAGAAAAAGTGTCATATAAAGTGAAAAAGAAGAAATTATTTTTCATAAAATAATTGAACTTATATGCACCGACATTGTAACCTCCTCACTCAAATATTAATGTATTTAACCGGTTTTCCAGATTACTAATTGCAGTTATTATGAACATTACATGTAATTGTTTTTAATTATCCGTAAATAAAAGTTAAACTCGAAAAAAAGTACCTGCACGTCTCAGGCAATTCCTCTGGCTTAGCAGGAGTTGGAGCC